CGATTTTAAACCGTTATCACGAATTGCAAAAACCTCTGACCACGAATTTAATCAGTAATCACGAATTACAACAAAAAAATCTAGATAACAAATTACTCACATTCGTGAGAACGAAATATATAATTCGTTATCACGTTTTAAATCCGTTACTACGAATTACAAAAACTGTTATAACTAATTCCATAAATTTTTGATAACGAATTTAATCTTTGATAACGTATTTTGCAATTCGTGAAATCGAATTAAAATTATATTTTTGAGAGGTCCTAAATGGGCTTCTGTAATAAGCAATAGGTCAACTATATTTGGTGTATAGAATGATTGTAAGGTGTACATGTCTGTCTCGCTTGGTTTATCTGACCAGAAACTCATTTTCATGGATCATTGATAATTTTAAGTTTATGTGATACTTGTAGTAAAACTTTATGTTTAGGACTATCAACATAAAATCAATCATGGTTAGTAAAGCAGGCGAGACATTTTAGCGTGTGCTTTCTTGTTTAACTTTTTTTGCATTTCCTTGCCATTGTTTCAAAAACTATAGGAGCTAGGTTTAAAGTGTAAATGGCAAGAATTGTCAACATGGCAAGGTGTATCCATCCTGAAAAATTAAAGAAAAATCTAACAACTTGTTTTGGAGTTATTACCCCTGAGATATTGATTTTCCGCCTTTTTTTGTCTGGCCTGTGACGAAAGTCGCGGAAAGCGAGACATAGGTGTTGCTTTTCCGGCCATGGCGACCATTCATGTCCAGTGCACAATGCAAAAGATATTGTCGACATCGCGATATTAGCAATGTTAACACGGCATCGTGTTAACATTGTAAGAACTCTTATATATTGTTTACATCGTTGAAATCGTTTATATCGCGATGTATACAATGTAGTAACGATATCGTTTTAACATCGTTTACATCGCGATGTTGACGATGTGAACGATGTAAACACAAAGGTATTGAATCGGTAAACAATATAAACGATGTTGACACAAAGGTATAGACTTGGTATACAATATAAACACGATGTTGACCCACTATTATCGACAATGCGATATTTACAATGTTAACACGATAACCTGTCAACATCTTTAACATTGTAAGAACTCTTATATACTGTTTACATCGTTGACATCGTTAACATCGCGATGTATACAATGTGGTTACGACATCGTGTTTACATCGCGATGTTGACAATGTGAACGATGTAAACACAAAGGTATTGGCTCGGTATACGATATAAACAATGTTAACACGCTATTGTGAACATCGCGATGTTTACGATGTGAACGATGTCAACACAAATGTAGAGACTTGATATACAATATAAACACGATGCTGACTTGCTATTGTCAACATTGCGATGTCTACGATGTAAACGATGTAAACACAAAAGTGTAGACTTGGTATACAATATAAACACGACATTGACTCGCTATTGTCTATAACGCAATGTCTACTATGAAAACAATGTAATCACAAGGTAAAGACACAATACAATGCAAACACAATAATGACACGATACAGTAGACATCGCGATGTTGACAATATCAATAAAACATCGTGTACTGGACATACTTCATGGCGACGGCGCAGGAGGCCTCAACAAGTTTTCTGCTTAAGTCAGTTTGATAGGAACTACTTGTGATAGATCAATGATATTTTGTATAAAGTTGCATTACAATCAGTACATATCAGTTTGACGACTATTTCGAGACCCTGCCCCCTAGGTCATAGTCAAGCGGCTTTGAATCAATTAGCAATTTTCAATGTTAAGTTTTCTGCTTAAGTCAGTTAGATAGGAACTACTTGTGATAGCAATGATATTTTGTTTAAAGTTGCATAACTATCAGTACATATCAGTTTGACAACTATTTCGAGGCCCTGTCCCCTATGTCATGGTCCAGTGACTTAGAATTAATAACCAGTTGCTGTCCATAAGATTGTCTTTTTTTTAATTTTTTGTCTGCAGGCGAGACATATCTCTGTGTCAACAGTTTATTAGCAGTTCCGAGATAACGAATTATTTAACCCGAGAACACGGATTGGGAATCAGAGATAATGGATTGGGAAACCGAGATAACGGATTAACAATCCGAGATGACGTATTATCAATCCGAGATAACGGATTATTAATCCGAGATCCCCGATTGGGAATCCGAGATCACGGATTTGGAATCCAAGATAACGGATTGTCAATCCGAGATCACGGTAATTTATTTTACATATTTCCATAAATTATAAACATTACAAACACGTTCATCTCTGAAATCTTTTCAGATTGGATTAGTATTATGTATGGTGGCAATTGTATGGTTCCACTTGAAGTCCAACGTATCTCCGATCTCCAAACTTCATCGAATTAGTGATTTAGGAACGATTTGAAATTCAAGGTGACTTTGAACCCAGTTTTTAAATTAGTATGTTTAAAATGCCATTGCACTTGGTTTTTTTTTTTAATATATACATTTTTTTTCTTAAAATTGTTAGCATATCTGAAAGTGAACTAGTGTAATTGAAAATACGTACAAATATGATAAACAAAATAATTTTTGTCGTTTGGTATTTGTGAAAGGATATTATCATTGTTGAGAGGAAATAACCATTTATTTTAAACGAAAACAAAAGTAAAAACATTAATTTAAACTCAATTTTTCGCTGAAAGTAAATATAATAACATGAAATTAGATATTTAATTTACATATTCACTCGTTTAAAACATATATAAAAAAAAATGATTTTTATGTTTGAATTAAAGGTAGAAACAGGTATACGTCTATGAGACAGCAATCAGATAGAAGGGAAATATAAAATTAAAAGAAGACTTTCAATGGAACTTCTGTTATAAATGATTTAACCAAATTTAGAATCAGTGCCCATGAACTTGAAATAGAAAAGGGAAGACACAAAGCTTAAGGAATCCCACAGACAAAAGATTTTGTAAATTATGTAACAATGACATTGTGGAGGATGAAAGTCATTTTCTTCTCCATCACTTACAACTGAAAGGTTCAGTTCCAGTTCAAATTTATCTTCTAAATTTACTAATTTTAAATTTTTAAATGACCAATCAAAATTTATATGAACATCCAATGATTAATAATATAATGATAAAATTGATAGATAGTTAAAGACTAGAAGAGCAAAATTAAGTAATAAGATATGAGTGGCCCGCCAGATCATCCTTCAATAATACAACAGTACTGATTGTGTTGACTCACTAATTATCTTTTGGAATACACTGTATTTGTTGTCGCTCTTTTGCTATATATTTTTTAGTTTATTGTTATTTTTCAAAAAAAAAAATCATCACAATTATTATATTTTGTACATTTTTAATTTAAATTGTAATTGTTCTGCTCCTCGTCGGGGCGTCTTGATTGATAAATAAAAATTGTTGTTGTTGTTGTTGTTATAAACACCCAATTCCTCATTATGGCAAAAAAAACTTTAAAAAAAACCTGACGAGATTCCTGACATGGAACAGACACATGAACATGTGACAAGGTTAAACTGATTTTTTTTTTGTTTTTTTGTTTTGTTTATTCCAACCCAATCCCTTTTTACCTCAATTATTGGACACACAAAATGTAATAATAACATTACATGTATGCTTCATTACAATACGTTATTTTGATTGGCTAACAGCAATCTCGCGTCATTCTGAAATTAACCTTGCTTCATTTCAAAATGAAATGTAACATTCATGATGACACGAGCTTCCACAATAAAGTGCACAGGTAAATAAAAGAAAAACTTGATAAAAATCTTGTTTTCATGATCCTAGCCAAAAAATGTAATTATAAGTATTGAATGCTTCTTTTCAGTAATTTTATAGGGTTGTAAAAGCGTTGACCGTGCGCACATTTTTAGAATGAAGCGCTTCCGCACTTCATACAAAATGTACTTCGGTCAACGCTTTTACACCCCAATAAATTTACAAAAAGAAGCATTCAATTCTTAAATAAATATACAATAACAGAACAGGCAATGCACTCAGCTCTGTAATGTAGAAAACATAAACACAAGATCAAACAAATAATAATAAATAAACAGAATGTTACATTATCAAAAAATGATTCCAGTTGCTGAAAGAAAGCTGAAGATACTAAACTTCTGATATGGACCTAAAGAGTCATGTACACAAGATGAATATTATCGGTGGATGTAATTCATAAAAGATTTCTTATCGCAACGTCATAAACAGTACAGGAATACACGATATTATACAATGCCAAAAAAACACAGAATTCAATACAGATACAGGGGTTCCGACATCTAGCAAAACATTCCACTCATTCCGGTTCTAGATTTTGTACTTGCAGTGACATGCGAGCTTTTCCTCCGTGTTCAATATGAAAATAAGAAGATGATGTATGCTTTTCAAAAAGACAACTTTCCACCAGATACCAAATGACGTAGAAGTTAGCAACTATAGTCATCGTACGGCCTTCAACAACGAACAAAACCCATACCACACAAGTTATAAAAGGCCCCGAAATGCAAATGTAAATCGATTCAAACGAGAAACGAACAGAGTGATTTATGTTAATTCATGAATGGATTTTTTTTTAAAATATATATAAAAATCAGTATACATACTATTATATCTGTTGTAGTCTTTTCCTTTCCGAATAGATTGTTTGTAACTATGAACTACGGTAGATGATATTTATAGGCTTATTTTGAACAAGCCTGTAGTAATTTGATAATTTAATATTAAAATTTGTTCATTTGATGTGCAGATACAGTGTCATCATTATCGAGCGACGTGCTTGGGGACACGAATTTACAGGGATTGTAGTGAAGATGGTCAATTTGATAGAAGTAGATTACGTAGTGGGTTAGTTTACCAATATATTTGATGCCCTATAATGATTAAACTAACAGTGATTTTATTAATAATTCATAATCCGTTTTCACACACGATTGAAGATGTATGTAAGACTACATAATCATACATGACCAAAGGTACGTAGTACTTATGTTACAAGACAAACAAATGTTACATATTTCGTTCGTTTTTTAATTGGCAATTCCAAAGTATTACATGTATATATTAACAATAAATAAACTTGACAGCTGAATGAAAAAACATGGCGTTATAATCTACTATTTAGCTCTAATACTTTAAATTGTCGTAACCGCTATGAAGTCTGTTCTCCATGTTTAAAGTAAAAAATAGATCTCTTTTTGCTTTCGTGCAAATCGTTTATCCCTTCCCTTGAAGGAAAATTAAAAAATTTGTTGATAGCCCTGGTATGAAATAAATCTCTCTCTCGGGTTTCTAGAGACGTTTAAAAAGACAAATAGAATGTTTCGAGTCTGAAACACATCAAAAAGTATGTGTTAAAGCACGTAAGAACAGTACAGTAAACCTTTCCCAAAAAATATGCCAATTCAGATCCCTTTGTCTGTTTCACTCAGGCCCAGGATCAAAAACTAGAAGTTGTCAAATTCTACTGAAATTTAAATATTTAATAGTATAAATCGTATACTCTAAATAATTACTCTACAATTTAACATATTTACATGCTGTTAAACGCATCTTAATACAAAATTGCAAATTGTATATGTTTTGGTTGGTTTTTTTTTTGTAAAAGTTTGCATCTATAGTTAAGATGTCGCTAAACAAAATGAATTAATGGTGAACCGAAAGACAATATGTAGTTCCGGGTCAACCTAAGACTTGAAAATTGATTTTTGATGCTTCTACGGTAAAAATTCTCATCATCATCATCATCATCATCATCATCATCATCATAATGTGTCAAATAAAAAAGGCGAAAAGTATTACTGTATTTCATTTTGATTGATTTACACGTAACCTTAATCCTCTACATATTTTTCGTCTCAAGTATGTCATAAAGATCTATCAATAACGTCTTCACATCTTAAATATTTCAGAATTTTATCCGGAATTCGAGTTGCTATTTTTTCAGTAAATTCATAAAATTCACGATTATAGTGCCTTCTAAGAGAACTCCTGGAGGAAACTTGTAACGATTTAACCCCATGGAACCATTCATTAATTAAATCTTTTGATCTTTGTGACAGTTTTTGATGCATTTGTACTCCCTCTAGTATCATCCTTTCTGTTCTAGATACTGTATGGGATGTTGTCAGAATGATTTCCAGTAGCACTTCCGTCCTACCTAGTTCAAGTATTACGTCACGAGTATTCAAGTAACTGTCAAACGTTAAAAAGACATTTGCCTTTACGAGAATAGTAAGAAACTGGAGCCAATCACTGTAGTGGTTTGAAACTGGCAACATTTTTTTGTTAAATTGAGAAGCTGTGTTATTATGCATGTCCATTATAGCACCCCTAAATAGTAAATATTCGAAAACATCAAATTTTCTCTCAAACAAAGCAATATAAACAGGAGGGTAAGCCCAAGAAAAATTACTTCGTACTCCATTCACATTATAATCTCTCTCTATCAGACGTTCGACATTTTTCCGAGTATTAGCTTTCAGGTGCACGATATCTGAGAGAACACATTTGCTCGGTTCGTCGTAAGTCTGGAAGGTCATACCACCTGCTGTTTGCAGGATTTCTTGAAGGTTTTGTAGTCCCAGTATTTCTGACCATGATAAAAGACTTAAACCACAATATGTTACATTCACATCTAAATGGTATTCTATTAAAAGACGGACAATCTGCTCGTTATGATTAAAAAACGCGTCTATCATACAATCTTGAAGACCAATAGTGTTGCAAATTTTAACGTTGGATGCCTTCATTTTGTCCAGCAAGATGGTGGCAAATTCTAGTAGACCTGAAACGATACTAAAATTAAATACTACCAGTTGATTTCTTTGAGACTATTTCTATGCTACTTACGTTAAACAAAACAAGCTCATCACGAATTTGTAAGTTGATTTTATAAATAATAAATATAAGTATAAGTATAAGTAACAGCGGATATTTTAAAATTGAATTAAAAACACCATGCAAAAAAGCTGTGGAAGGTAAATAAATCTGTCTTATTTCATACACCTTATTTTTGCTTACAGCAAATTTTAAGATCATGAAAATATATAATGATTTAGTACAACAATAATGATAAAATAATAAAAACATAATTATAATGGATAATCTAATTTTGATTCAATCTATCTAAGTATTGTTGTTGCTGTGCATGCAATTTCTTTTCTTAATTTGAAAAAGGGGGGTAAATCGATTCGTTTATATAAAGATTATTTGAAGCAAAACTAAAATGTATCTATTATTTCACTGTTTAAATTCCGTGCGCTTTAAACATAATGCAGTTATAGAATACTAATATACTGTTTACATTGTACCTTTGTTCACGGCCATCTTTAATCCGTCCACAAATGAAATAGTGCTAACCTTCCCTAATAAACATATTCGTACGACCTCTATGTCTATCTCTGTGATTGCTGATAAGAGAAGGTTTGACGAAAGAACTACACCTTTAGACATTATATAATCTTTGCTTGCTGTCTTTTTATGCTCTATCGCGAATCTGAGAGAATCTTTTAGATGTTTTCTTGTTCTGCAACATGTCATATTGAAATTTGGCCACATGCATTCCAGTGCCTTAGGAAAATCATGCCATATTGCCACTTGAGTAATATGTGTAGCTTTAGTGACTTTCTTCTGGTGTTCCACGTCCCAACGAGTCTCAAACTGACATGTATCATTCACAAAATCAGGATAATAATGTAGTAATTGCTTTACTATATCAAGGTTAGTATGAACAACTGCTAAATACAATGGAGAGAACTTGTTCCATAAAGAAAGAAATATAAAGGTGTTTGTCTTATAATTAGACAGTATAGGGAGTAGACTCCGTACGATTTTATACCTTTCTGCGATTATTGCCACATGAATCCAGTACACTCCACAATGATTTGGATTTTTCCGTTCAGATATGTCAAAATTTTCCATTGAATAGAGTCTATCATATAAATTATCTGTATAAAACATTGGGTCTTTTTCACTAATACCATGTCGCAGCATGAGAATATGAGGACACAAGCCATACAATATACATTTACGAAGAATTTCTAGTTTATTGTTACCAGTTCCCGAAAGCCGACACTGCTCCAAGTTGTGACAGCTACACTGATTAAAAGAATCTGAAAATAAATCTAGAAGATATATTATTTGCGACAGTAAGTAAAGTAAAATAATTAAATTGACAAACCAAATTTACATTGTAAAATTAAGACAAAAGATCCCATTTGAATGATAAAGACTCTGTATAGCCTCCAATTAAAAGTTTTCAACAGTTGAAGGCAACAAGACTTTAGGATGTGAGCAAGAATTTCTTTGATATACCAAATAAATATTGACCACAAAGCAAAACAAAAAGGTGAGTATTTTTTTATTATACTTAAATGTATAACAGGTCATTTACAGTCCTCAAACGAGTTGTTACAAGCGAAGATCGTTGAATTATCCCAATACAGATCTATCATTCATTGATTTCAACGTTCCAATTTCGACCGGACTTGACATTGGACGTTATGTATTGACAATCAAGGCATTTGGGTCATAAGAGTAAGAAGTCAATATGATTATATGGTGAAATCTTGTGTGATCCATCTTTAGAATTGGCTTATATTAAATGACAGTGTATTTGAAAAGTCTTTTTAGAACAATTCAAAACGTATAAAAAGTTAACAATAACAAAAAATAAATATATTATTTAAACTTCATTTCACATGTGACAAGGGTTAAGAAAAAATATATTGTACCTATTTTTATGTCTACTATACTTAAAAAATACTGGCATCACTTACCAAAGTACATCAAAGCTGTTATCATAGAAGGATTTTCCCTAATATGTTGAAAAAGATCATCCTCACTGCTACCAACAATAAAATTAAACCAATCTAATTGTTCCTTTCTGTTTAAATTAATTTTAGTCAACACTATTGGTGATACTGGGTCGCTATCGTGACCTGTAAAGGTATATTGATGACATATAGGTATAACTGTGAACTATAAAGTGTTAGTGGTTGTCAATATCGAATATAAGTATGATCATTGATGGACAACAGTGCAAACATATCAGTTTTACGAGGGGAAAAAATGCATAAGCGCTCGCAAACATGTTTAACCCCGCCACATTCGTTATGTGACTGCCCCAAGTCAGGAGCCTGTAGTTCGGTATTTGTCGTTGGTTAGTATCTGTCATATTCATTTTCGTAAATTGTTTTTTTTTATAAATTAGGCCGTTAGTTTTCTGGTTTAATTTGTTTAACATTTTTCATGCGGGACCTTCTATAGCCGACTATCCAGTATGGGTTCTTCTCATTGATGAAGGCCGTCTGGTGGCCTATAATGCTTACATCCACTTCATTTGAACTCTGGTGGATAGTTGGCTATCATACCACATCTCCTTATTTTTATAATAATGTCTTATTTTTTGGCTCATGAGGATGCTGATTACTAACATTTTCAAACTTTTCATAACAATATGTAACCATTCACTTTATTCTATGAGTGAATTAAACAATTTGCACGGCAAAACTTTCATTTCTCAGCATCTTTTAAAAACATGCAGGTCCAACAAACACACTTCTGACAATTTTTTAGAAATTCCTCACTGTTTTGTGGAATTTAAAATGATCAATATTTATGTTGCTTTTCAATGTGTTTTAGTCGTTATATCTACGTCTCATATTAGACCTTTACTTTTATAAATTTGCCTTATGAAAGAAATAGAAATAAACTCGAGCATGGTCGTTAATACACCTCAGTTTTTGAGAGGCTGGCTTGCATATCATGGTACAGAATCCTTGGTTTTATGACTTCCAAAGACTTATTTGCGTCTCGACTAATTAGGAAATTCAGGAAATGATGAAAGAAAAAAAAACGTTCGATTTAAAATTGTTCTTTTAGTCAAAGACGATAGTTAGATTCAAAAATATTTTAGTTCTTTTAGTCAAAGACGATAGTTAGATTCAAAAATATTTTAGTCAAACACGGCACGATTCTTGAATAGTTAGGCCCATTATACATGTTTATTCATTTGTTTGACATTGTCAAAAGAAAGAGGGATCTTCCAGTGCCCAGATGCGTCCCATCTTTTCAGCATTGATATGGTATCTATGTCATTGGTTGACGGGCTGCACAGTTACTTTAAGAGCTCCTTAGTGCTCCATTATTAATAATTCGGTTAGATTAAAAGGGGTTTTAATTGTATGTGGTAATTGTTATCTAAATGACTGGAAGGATAGAAGTTGTGGCAAAACAGCAAACTTATTCAATAGATGCTTTTGATTTAGAGAGTTAAAAAAATGAAAATGTCGCTCTTTTCTCCCAAATTCCACTAGCTGGCAACATGCAAGACATGAATAAAAAAAAATTTCTCATTAAAATCACCGATTATTATGCACCAAAAAATACAGCACAAAGCAGCCAGGTGATGAATAATTAAATGATTTTGTGTTATTTCACGTGACAGCCAGGTGGTGAATAATTCAATGATTTTGTGTTATTTCACGTGACAGCCAGGTGGTGAATAATTCAATGATTTTGTGTTATTTCACGTGACAGCCAGGTGATGATATAATTCAATGATTTTGTGTTATTTCACGTGACAGCCAGGTGATGAAATAATTCAATGATTTTGTGTTATTTCACGTGACAGCCAGGTGATGAATAATTCAATGATTTTGTATTATTTCACGTGACAGCCAGGTGATGAATAATTCAATGATTTTGTGTTATTTCACGTGACAGCCAGGTGTTGAAATGATTAAGTTCAAATAAACGGTAATTGTCCGTGTCGTTGTCTTTTGAAGTGGCTGCGAATAACTGGATCACACAGGAATGATTCATTCCGAATCCCAAAAATTTTTTTTTTAATTACATTCTTTTTTTTTTGAAGTCCAAGGAAGCATTTGTCTCCTCCGCCTATAAATAACTGTCTGGCGAGCAGATAAGTCCAGGTAACCATATTATAATGCCTGCCCAGCCACACTTTCGGTGTTATTTTTAACGCAAAGGTATTTTTTAAAAAACTAAATAAAGGAATACACAAATAAAATTAGCCTAGGGCGGTTTGTCTGTTCAATAACAAAAACGATTTGTATTTTGGTTAAAGAGAGTTTCTTTTCTTCAACAGAATTGGGTTTTTGAGGTTTTTCTTTGGCTTACGACTCAAATATTGTAAATCGTCAAATAATTATAACAGAATTTTTAAGAAAACAAAACGGGCTTTTCAAAGTCCATTTCCGTTTAATCCAATAGTAAATACGCTTTTTATTGAATGAACATTGTACATATAAGTTGTTTCTGAAATGAGCACGCCTTGGACATATTTTCTTTTTAAGACATTCGAAAGATACAATAAATATAAGACAGAAAACTATCTTCATCAAAAAGCAAAGATTAATACAACTCACACTCACCTATTTGAGTGTTGGTTTGAATTGAAAAGTTTGCTTTGTGGACCATAAAATTAACATGATCTTTAATTCGTATGTTTCATTTTATACTTAACTTACATTATGGTACACAATTAATGTATTTTAGTGGGGTTTTTTTTTCGTATTTAGCTCACCTGGCCCATAGGGCCAGGTGAGCTTATGCCTTCACTTGGCGTTCGTCGTCGTCCGTCCTCTGTCGTCGTAAACTATTTCAAGAATCTTCTCCTCTGAAACTACTGGGCAAAATACCTTCAAACTTTAACTGAATGGTCCTTAGGGTATCTAGTTTATAAATTGTATCTGAAGTTTGATCTATCAACAAACATGGCCGCTGTTGCTAAAATTAGAACAAAGTGGTCAAATGCAGTTTTTGGCTTATATCTCAAGAACTAATGCAGTTAGAGCAAACGTGAAGGAGTTATAGTGATGAATAGTCCAAGATCTATCTGCTACGAAATTTTAAGGCCAATTGGAGAACCCATTGTTGGGTTACTGTCAGAAGTAGTTTATTTTTTTAGGAATTTAGGAAATTTTACAGTTTTTTGTTAGTATCTTTAAAATTATAGTTGATAGAAAGAAAGTGTAAATGAGAAAAATGTTTATCTAAGTAAGATCTACATATAAGTAAGCATGATCAAATTATCAATTGACCCCCTTAAGGAGTTATTACCCTTGAAACACAATGTTTTACATTTTTTTGTACGTCTATTACTTTTTCAAAAATCTTCTCCTCTGAAACTACTTGGCCAAATACTTGCAAACTTTAACCGAATGTTCCTTAGGGTATCTTGTTTATAAGTTGTATCCAAAGTTTTGCTCCATCAACAAACATGGCCACCATTGTTAAAAACAAAACATTGGGGACAAATGGAGTTTTTGGCTTATATCTCACAAACTAAAGCAGTTAGAGCAAAGCAAAGGTGACAGTATTGAATAGATCTATCTGCAACAAAATGTTCAGACCAATTTGCCAACCCATTGTTGGGTTATTGTACGAAATAGTAATGGGAGAAATTATAGTTTTGGTTATTGCCCCTTGAAAGATTTTTTTTTTTACAATTTTCTTGTTGAATCATTACTTTTGTAAAACATGGCTGTTATTGCCAAGAAAGAACAAAGTAGTAAAATGCAGTTTTTATATTTCATCTCTTAAGCACCAAGGACAAAACTTACAGAATAAATATGATCAACAATTTAAAATCTATCTGCAGTGAGATTGCAGACAACTATTTTTTTTTATTTTGAAGCAAATATCACCAAAACAAAGAATTTTTTCCTGGCCCGGGCCACCAGAAACTTAAATCATAAATGAGTAGGGTGGGATGGCGGTGGGCATTTGCAATATCCCACTTTTTGTATTTTTTTCCAAATTCCCACATTGTTTCCTTCTTTTTTCCATGTCCCTGTTTTTAACCCCTTATATCCCATTATAAAGTTGGAAATTTAAGTATCGGAATGATCAAATGAATTTGCCGAATACTTTCTCCCACTTCTAGAAAAAAAATAATATGTCATAGTAAAAATATTTAAAGATTGGCTTCAGTAAGTTATGTTTAATCAAATACCTGTTTCTTTGGTGGCACTGGACCCCATCGCGTGTTTTTGTTTACTATGTAACCACTTCCTAGTTAAATAAAATAAGAACAATCCTCGGATTGGAAATTTTCTATCTCCGTAATCTTTGTTTTCTTGGCTAAAAGGGGAAGCGGGTACTCGAACTTTAATTACTACACTTCAGTAAATTGTGAAGGGAAAAGTACGAATGTTTAGAGTTTGATAAAAACATCAAAATATATCACGAGTAATAACCACGCCCCTCCCCCGTCACTAAATCAGATGGCTGAGTGTAACGTGCAACTCCCCTATATATGATAGCAAATTATTTCATGTATAGCAGACTGACGAGAACATGTTAATTTGATATGAATGTGGACCTGCTTTGTCACTACCGACCCTATATACAAGCCATTGATCTTACTCGCAGCAAATACTAATTTTCAAGTCTTTGATTTGGCCCGACCTAGTATCGATCCTACGCGGACCTCATGACGCTACTACGAAACCACCGAGGCATTTATTCCTAACCAGAACCCGCACTTGAAGATCTGACAATAATGCCAAAGAAGTAATCAAGCAATTAACCTTAAAATTGAGAAACAAAAATACAAACAAATATGAAATATCGACATTTGGTTTAACTGCCTTTCAACCGAAAAGCTTTAAGAATTGTTATGGATAGGTATGAGCCCTGGATGAGGATGGGGAAAAGTAAGGGAGAAGGAAGGAGGGCTATTTCTTGGCCTAATATTAATGGGCTTTCAGTATGTGCGAGCATTTTTTGTTTCGATAAAATTTAGTATTGTTTTACTTGTACGTGTACTCAACGAATTTTTATAATACATTTTTAATCAATTGAACGTTATTTTTTCAAAAGATCGAAATAACGAAGTTAGAAACAAGATGAGGTAGAGTAAACAAACTAGATTAACTCTGCCACAGAAACCTCATCAGTGTTTTTTAGTTTGTATCTCAGTACTTTTCTATTAATGAATTGGATATGCCCCGCAGATCTTGGTATCACTCTAGCAATTATTTACAACTAGTTTAACTCGGGACGATGTAGAGCTAGACATATGGTAATGACAGCTGACTTTTGCTGAACAGAGAATCTGTAAAATTTTGTTACGACAGGTTGTTTGTGACTTAATACCCAACCCAAAGAGCCGTAGATTGTTTATCGAAAGAGGCTGTAGAGTTTGAATCTACTCCGATTGTATACTCGAGTTTTACTCTTCTATATAAATTAACTTTCAAGGTTGACAATCTATATCTCTCCGGCTATTTGACCATAGCTGGTGCAAGGTTGATTAGCGCTAGAACATGTCCACACGTCGAGGATACTATAGAACATAGTTTCCGTAGACCTTTCTCTAGGAGGAACTGCATGTAGACGTCTTGATAGTTTAGAGGCTATTTACTAGCGGGAAAGTCTTACGCACTGGGCTTTCTTTTCACCTCTCAAGAAGGCTAGTCAGAGACATTGGAAGAGTGTTCTCCTCTCAACGACATTAAACGTACACACACACCTGTTGTAAAACAAGCAACACTTTTGCGACACACGGCGCTAACGAGTATTGTAAATTTTAAGTATGTTTAATTGTGGAATCGTACATGTACATGACATTTTGATGTGTTTTTTTGCTGTTGTGTGTTTTAGCAGTGTTGGGTTGCTGACTGAGGTTAAAATCATATAAACATTTTGATTTTTCATTCGAGTATTGATTTTGGAAAATTAATTCTAACTTAAGATTGCTTTATAATGATTTAAATGTATGGAAATATAACGAATGGTAAAAATGGGGATAGAAAATCTTAACACGATTCATGTTGAGAGGTGCGCATCTCAAATAGGTGTGCACACTTTCTGTAGCTTTAGATGTCTAGTTTGAGAAATGTAGGACGCGCTGATAAAAAAAATGTAGTCTTTAATTAAATTTTACTGAAAAATAACTTAGTTCAAAAATTTGAGAACATAGGGAAAACATGTTCAAACAACTTTTCTGTGAAGTTTCAGGGATATGGGTTATAACTGTAGAAGTTTATTACACGAAAAATCTACCCACATTTCCAGACCGTCCGACAGCACGCCTGACATCTCGATACTATTGGTCGATTTTTCATCCGATTTCCAACGGCACAAAAGTATACATTCCAGCAGCACCTGTGGAATGACTTTCATGAATAACATTATCTTGTCGGGTGTGTTATTTGACTTATCTAATGGTCACATTTTTTGGGCAGCTATTAACAGGTCTGAACAAGCTACTTAATATAACAGTATATTTTTCATTAAATAATCCAGAATCCTCTAAATATACTACCGAAATTTACCCAAAGGAACTTACTTTAAATAAATCTAACATAAACAGCAGTAGTTGTCCTTTTCTAGATTTAGACATTTCAATTTCTAAAGGGAAACTCCATACGAAAATTTACGACAAAAGAGACGATTTTTCATTCCCTATTGTTAATTTTCCTTTTTTGGACGGTGATGTTCCTTTGGCTCCATCATACGGTGTTATAAATCCCAACTCGTTCGTTATGCCCGTGTGTGTAGTGATGTCATAGATTTTAACGAACATAATCAATGTATCACTGGTAAATTATTAAGTCAGGGATTTCGTTACCACAAATTACTTAAAACATTTATTAAATTCTTTCATAGATACAAAGATTTGATTAGTAAATTTGGCTGTACCTGTAGAAAACTTATTAAAAATGGTATTTCACATCCTAAATTTAACGGTAATATTGTACCAAAAGCGCGGAAATCACTATGTGATTCGTGTAAACTTATCGAACCTTTAAACAAACTTATTAGTAAAGGTTATCTTATTAATGTTGTAATAAGTTTTTGAATATTGTTTTCATTGAAACTAACATCGATTTTGTCATCAACAAATTAAAACATAACTAAATTTGTATTCTTTTCGAATGTTTTTTTTCTGTTATTCAATGTTTACTTATATTGTTTTATATCTCGTCTTACTTTTTTTAATATGTACCACATTTGATGAGTATTTAGTATGATGAAAAAAAAATTTCACTTCTGTACTCGTACTATGAATAACAAATTTATTTTGTAAAAAATGTTTCTGTACTCCTAACAACAAAATTATTATGTTTAAATTTACCTGTGTACGTTACTTTATTTAACGCTATTTTGTCCTAGGTTAAAGTTGTCTTTTTGACATTGAAACATCTTTTTTATTTATATTGTGTCATATAGATCAAACTTATTCGTTCAGTGTATATTTACTTGTTTTTGTGTAGTCTTTTTTATCGAGTTAAGCCATTTCAATTGATATTTTATTGTGTGTCTTTTTATGTTGTAATGTTATACCACTGTTTCAGGTTAGGGTGAAGGTTGGCGCCTGTTAAAACGTTCAAACCCGGTGCATTTGTATGCACCTGTCCTAAGTCAGGAGCCTGTTGTTCAGTGGTTTTCGTTTGTTGGTGTGGTTCATAAGTGTTTCTCGTTTTTTTTATATAAATTAGACCGTTGGTTTTCCTGTTTGAATTGTTTTACACTAGTCTTTTTCGGGCCCTTTATACCTTGCTGTTCGGTGTGAGCCAAGGCTACGTGTTGAAGGCCGTTCATTGACCTATAATTGTTTACTTTTTACACATTGTGACTTGGATGGATAATTGTCTCATTTGCACTCATACCACCTCTTCTTATTTATATGATGTACTGATTTTTTCCTGGTCAAAGGACGACAATGCGAAGTAATTCAGTGGTTATAACAAACCTATGATATAAGTATGTAGTCATGTTGCGTCGCTTCCTAGAATCTATAATAAAACATTTACCTTGTGATTTGACATCGGACTGTAACTGGCTAAATAGACTTTCTTTTTTTTTTTGTTCCGAATCCGAAAGTCGCGTCTGGTATTTTTTGGTGGAACATCAGTCGCTAATTCAATTTTTTGAAGCAAGACTAAAATTTCTGCATTGAAATTCTGTACACGTTGTTTCTGGACATTGCAAAAGTTCTTGTCTCTTCCATGTTTATGATGTTACATTGTGAAATTTGTAGCCACCGGTATCAGATAGGGCGGTATGATTTCCTACCAGCAGGTTAAGGACTTTTGACTTTTAACTGCAAGCATTCTTTGAAATTGTATAATATTGTTGTGTTTGTTCGTGTGTTTTAATTATGTATAACAGTCACTGCTATCCATTGAGTTAATAGGTTTTCTTGTATGTTTTTATACGTTCACTGATCGAGATTAAAAGGACTGAGAACTAAAGAAAACTTTATTTCAATTTACCAGTCAAAAGTATCTGATATTTCTTCACAACTGTCTTTAGTATGAGGGTAAATAAGAGCTTGAAATAAAGCAGATACTTGTCTATATTTGTTAAAGACCTTATGTTATCCTATAGAGCCATTCTTTATTGTCTATATTTGTTAATGACCTAATGTTAGCCTATAGAGCCATTCTTTATTGTATTTTTTGGGGTCGTTTGGTTCACATCTCCTTCTATTAATTTTGATTCATTCGAATTATTTCATATGTGCATCTGAATCTTTTAGAGCTTTCACAGATTATTGCTCCTCTTTAGATGTCAATTGGTCTTACAAATGACCTTAAGATATTCACCTTCTTTTCCGGTAGAATCCGGTTGGTGAAAATCTTAACTGGAACTTAAGATTCTCAACTCTCTTATGGTTAAAATACTAGAGAAGGGTTGCAAAAACATGCCTTACATCAACATTTATTAAAACTATGACAATTTCAGATAAACACTTCAAAAGAGACTGGCAACGCCATCGTTCGTCTCGTTTTTATGTTATTTGATTAATATGATTACATATTCTGTCAAGAAAGAAAGAAATCTACGAAAAAATGTTTATTGCTATGATTACAGTGTCAGTATTACATACATATGAAATGGAGTGTTTAATACGTATTTACGTAACAAGCTATAATTAAATAATACTACCATTATGATTATCTAACCTAAATATCTAAAATATATAAGAGCAAAAATCATCACAAACATGAGAAGGAATTTATGAATCAAGTAACTAAAGAACCTTCCCATAACATCCCC